AGAGCCCCAACGCGAAGGTTATGACTAACGAAAATATGTGTCGAATCTCCAGAAATATCCTTCCGTGATTGTTCCAAAACCACAATTGCCGTGTTGAGCCCTGGTAAGGCTGACACCTTGAGATCTTGAGGGTAATTCGCTCTCGGCGAGTTCCTTTTGGCGATCTCGTAGGCCTGAAGGATAACTGCGCGTAACCATAGAGATATGGTGTTTGCGATTATGCGACTGACTTCGGTCGTTGACGAAGTAAATACGGGTATCAATGACCGCTTCCTCGAACCACGCCTAGTCTTGGAGCGTCGAATGAAAACTCGAACTGCTCGCACCGAGCCCAGGAGAACTTCACCATGTACGATTCCCACAATAGTCGATATCGGTGGGATGGTGAAGGAACGGTCGGGTTGGCCTGGTAGTAGATTTTAGCAATAAAATCCCAGCATAATCCTAGATGTCCCGTTCCGTGCGTCCCATGCTCAAAACGGATCCGGGTTGAGTCGATCACATGTAGTTCGCTCACCCGTACCGCCATTGCTAATGCCAAGAGAAACCATTGTTTCCTTGGTGAGGTCATGAAATGAGGCAAGCTCCTCACAGCGATAGCCCGTTCGCGGAGTTCTCTATACTATACCGAGAGTGTAACGAAGGTGTCACGCGCTGGTAAGGAGCTTGAAAATGAGGATGCAATGAGGGGTTCGAAGGGGGCCCTCGCAAACCTCGAAGTACCACGTTCAAGTCCCAATCAGGTGGGTGGAACTTGGCCTTCTGATCCTCAAGCCTGAATGAGCATAATATGGCCTGTAGTTCCGTGACCTTAATCACATTGTGATTTTCCGGAAACGGCCAACACTAAGATAATTGCAGCCAATTACGTAGTAATGGTGCTACCTTCCAAGTGTTTTTGGGTACGCAATGTAGGAGGTATTCCTCTAGGAATTGTGACGCAATCGTAGGGTCTTGATTCTTTTCTTCCCTGTAAAAAGTCTCAAGTGATCCCCACTTGTCATCGTCGTCCCTGGGAGAGTAACGATGAACTAAAGCTATAGCTTTGCTGCCCGTGTCGAAAGAGCCCTTCGCAATTAAAACGCCTTTTAAAGACGAACCATGCGTGCAGACGTTGGGTGAGGCAATTTTCTGTTGAGGGTGGATGGGTAGGTTGGACCACTGTGAGAGGGGTAGTAAATCGTTTTAGATTTTTCCGAACTTGACGAACTACCTTCTCGCCGGTTACCAGGGTGCGATCAAAGGAGAGATCGAGATACCTTGTCTCCTTGATCCCCTGTATCACCTTGGGAAGTAAAAGTGGTGGCAGAAAAGTGTAAGTTTTTTGCCCTTCCCAAGTGATACTGAACTCGTCCACCGCCCAAGTCTGCGGATCCGGCAACGGGGAGATATACGTCATGAGTTGGTGGCCTAGGCAAGTAATAAACAAGTCAATGTTTGGTTGCCTGAATTCCTGAAGCAGTAACTGGAATGCTTCTGTGAGAAATTTCCACTCGGTGGGAGCCACCCTGTCTGGACGTGATAAAGTATCGGCCAGTATGTTTCTACATCCGGGGATGTGCTGAACTATGAACTTTAGTCACAGCCGATCCACTAGATGGAACAAATCTGAATGTCCTTAGAAGTAGAGAGTGGGAGTGTGTTGTTCCCCGATTGCACAGGCACCACACCACAGTGCTGTTGTCTGTGGATATTGAGAGTCGGGCTAACTGTTGTTGATTCTGCCAATGTGATATAGCCAGAACTCCAAGTTGTTTATGTGCCACTTCCATTGAGCGCCGGGCCATAGCCCTGAGCTTATCTGGTCTTGTAAGTGAAGACCCCACACCCCTGAAAGGGGACGTCCACAAACAGGTGTGTATTCGGGGAAAACCCGAATAAAGAGACTCCGCAGACATTCAACGCCACAAATTGAGGCAAGGCTCTAGCTTAGTCGGTAGAGTGATGGCCTTGAGTGGATCCTGACTCCTGATGTAAGGGTTCAGGAAAAATTGAATTGGTCGCAGTTGTAAGCGGCCCATGCTAGTTAACTCCTGTGCCGAGGTGATTAACCCTAGCAACACTTGCCACTGGCGAAGTGTGTGTGGTTGGTGTAGAGTAGATGACAAAAGTAGAAACTTGTGCCATCTGTCCCTCGGTACAGATAGGATATCCTGGTCTGTCTTGAACAGGTCTCCTATGAACTGAACTCAATAGGAAGGAGAATACTCCCGACTTCGCCTCGTTGATTGTCTATCCCAGTTATTGACATGTGTTGATGATACAGTAGATCGCCCTCCATCTACGACTCGAACCAAGTGTTCGTCAAGTGTAGATAGTTATTGGCTTCATTACTCCTGTAAATAGCCATAAGTGTCACTGACATGTCAAATGGGAAATACTATCATTGGTAGTGAACCCCAATGAACTGGACCTGAAAAGTCTACGGTTGGGATGGATAGTCGAGACTGATCAAGAACCAAACGTTCGTTGAACACAGAGAGATTGTGGATCATTCTCATCTTGTCTGGGTCCTTCATGAGTACCAGGTAGGTGTGAGGATAAAACCCCGGTGTAAAGACTGGGTTGTGAACCCACTCCACAGCTCTTCTTACCAACAGTATGTCTATGTTGGATTTTCCCATTCAAACTGTGGTCAACGGTGGGGTTATCTCTACCCGTATACGGACACCATGATATAGTGCGATAAGTACTAAATCGTCCTTGAGACTTGTCTCTACCAATCCCTTTCCCAGTAAGGGAATGCTGGTCTTCCCTGAGAAACGCGCGTCTAGGCTTATAATTCCCTGACTTGCCAGCCCGCTTAGACTTTCCAAGCTTTTGGGGAACTTGACGTGCGTGTCTGCGATCTGTTCGTTGAACAGGGGAGTAGATGACCAAGATTGACGTAATAGACTCTTGGGTGTAACGGTAATCTCCGTCAGAACGGTCTCAAGATGAATTTTCCTGTGGTCAAACTGACGCTGTAGGAAAAACACCATAGTTTGGAAGTGATCTAATCAGATAGGGTTATCCTCTAATAGATTCTGATCCACTGCAAACATTGACGATATTGGTCGCTTAAATGACGGAGCAAATGTGAGTTTTGGAGAAGTCTTCCTCCAATGACCTCGTGGTGTCCCTCTTATTTACCCCGTTATCAGGGGAGGGCGTTACTGACACGGGATGGTCTGCTACCCAATCGGGTACATGTGCTATATAAGCTGATCATGTGCCGGTTACGTAACCGAATACACTGTCATTGTAGAGATCTTGACTGGTACGCAGACGCTGCGCTCAAGCAGTCAGACGCTGCGCTCGGCGCAGGTCTATGCTGGATATGTTGGAACAGCGCTAAGCTGATCGTGCGACGCTTGCGTGATAGGAGCGCTTGGGTAGCAGTCAGACGCTGCGCTCGGCGCAGGTCTATGCTGGATATGTTGGAACAGCGCTAAGCTGATCGTGGATCGCTTGCGTAATAGAAGTGCTTGGGTTGTAGTCAAGTGCTGCGCTCGGCGCAGATAAATCAGACACAAAGCTCAAAGGTATTGACTGGATCAAGGCTTGCGTCTAATCTACCCCCATCATAGTATCTTGATACGCTGGTGCTGTCGCCGACGTCACAGATTAACATACATGTATCTGGAAGTGTCCGGCGGCTGAAAAAATAGGAGCAGTTACGATACTCACAAAATCCTCCGGTATTGTTGATTTCGGTGGATGGTGTACTTCTGCAGTTACAGGCGTCATAATACCTGCCGATAATAACGGTTGGGTGGTAATGACCGAACCATGTCATTCGCTATTCTGCGATAGTGACATTCCTCTCGTCTCACGACGGAATAACTGCAAAATATGATTGTGAGTAATCTGCTTTTATATAGTAAACTCGTTGGATTAGAGTTTTACACAAAAATTACATTTTGAATTTTGGCGAGCACATCTACGTGCATGCCTATGACCGTGGATAAAGATCTTTGGGCGATTATTCCACGACAATATGTACACCACGCAAACATAAGTTACGCAATTAAACCATTGAAGAAATGGTACTGGAAGAATGCCGTAGAATTGAACAGTAATCTATCGGCAGAAATACGAATTGCAAGGGTATACAATATTTTTATATACGCAATTCAATGTAAACCAAGGCTATTTACATTTAGAGATTGGAGAGCACATCTGCGCGCAAACCAACCAACGTGGATGATAATCTTTGTAAGTTTTTTTCCACGACAATTAGTACAATGCTCAAAGGTATGTTACGCAATTAAACCCTTGTTGATGAGACAATACTGGAAGAGTGCCGAAGAATTTGAACACTAATCTATCGGCAAAATTATGAGTTGCAAGGGTATACAATAATTTTGTATGCGCAACTCAATGTAAACCAAGGGTATTTATATTTTCATTTAGGGTTTGGAGAGCACATCTGCGTACAGACCAAACAACGTGGATGATAATCTTTGTAAGATTTTTCCCACGACAATCAGTACCACGCTCAATCATAATTTACACAATTACGCCATTGTTGATGAGGCGGTACTGGAAGAATGCCATAGAATTGAACAATAATCTATCGGCAAAACTACGAGTTGCAAGAGTATACAATAGTTCATATACGCAACTCAATGTAAACCAAAAAGACCAACAAAACCCTTTTTAATCGCATAAACATAGGTACGCAATAAAATAATTGTTGATGAAGCGGGACTGGAAGAAAGCCGTAGATTTGATATTAATCTATCGGCAACCATATTTTTAACGAGTTGAAAAAGTATACAATAATTTGAGTATACGCAACTCACTGTTACGCCAAAGCTAGTAGTATTTAAGAACATAAGAATATGTTATACATACGTAGCTGAGAATTGTAAACAATATGACTACCTTGGCAGGCAAACGATTGTAACACAATTCAACAACGAACAACAAATATTTTGGCGGGAAAAAAGACAAGAGTTTTTTCACGACTAATTAATTCACATAAAACTACACAACATGGTGAAAGTTATGTCATAGTCCCAAAATACATCATATTTTCTTCTATTTTTTGTAAATAATTTTGACTTTATAAAATAAGACTAAACATCATATTTTGGGTATGTTACTTAATAATTTGTGTACTACAATTAACTATCAGTCGGTTTTTGAATACACCGGCCTTCATTCACAAGGTTGGGTTGATAAGCACTATGTATTAAGCGTTAAGACTACATTGTGTAGTCGAAAGGCATTATGTATTAAGCGTTAAGCCTACATGCATGTTCCGTCCAAAGTTATTATCAGTCGGTGTTGATATACGCCTGCCTTCATTCCCAAGATTTAGTCTATAAGCGTTAGGAGCTAATCGTTAAGACTACATGTCCAGCGAGAGAAGTAAACATTATTCTATGATAACGCGCTCTCCAAGAAAACTTATGTAATTTTAGTCATTTCTGCATACTCATGTCCTTCAAAACTGAGAGGTAATCTCTGAAATTCAGATAGTCAGCATGTTAGATTAGCAACATTGTGTAGATATTGTTTAAGTAAGTGATAATTGAAAATGCGACCGTATCATGACCTAAGAGCATCAGTGGTATAAATAACGGCCTTTATTCCGGGTACCTCACTGTTGAGACACACGGAATAAAGACTGGCCACTAATAGATGCTTCTCTTGGTTGTTTTAAGGTAAGATATGTTCACTTCATGTATATTGTATGTTATTAAACTATATTCCTATTTTTCCTGTTTTCTATTGCATTCTATATTCTCAGTTGGTTTGAATATAATCAACATTTTAAATTAGGCAAGAATGACTAAGGTAACCAGTAAAGTTAGTATTATAGTAAGGTTAGATCATGTAGCATGAAAAACAATCTAACAATATAGTGTATATTAAAATAGTATAAAATATAATATGATAACGTTTTTTAGACATTGGTTCAGCAAATTTATATTCCGCCGGGCTCGTGGAAGCAAAGTAATTCCTGTGCATCTGTTGTCAATTGTATATTTTATTGAATGTTTGCAATTGAAGTGTGCATGTATGTAAATGAATGCATCTTTAAATGATTACTGTGTGTGTTCCATTCAAATGATTCAAACTACCCTTGATGTAATTAATGTTAAAACAATGTACTTATTGAGCGAGGCAACTGTACTGTACACGCAAAACCCGTGCGCGCACATAACACTTGTTGTTTAATTCAGCTGCTCATGTATTGCTATATCTTCAGTATTATTAAGCTCTTTTTATTTCTACGTTGTACACATTCAATGACATGCCGTCGGGCATATGACTTTTTGTTATTAACGGTAGTTTAGATATAAAACATGTGGCCATTTTATTTAATTAGCAGATTGAAATCTTATTAATATTTCTATATTCTTATTATTCGGTTTAAGTTGTATTCTGTAATGTTAGGTCATCTTTACGTTTCGCATAAACATTAAAAGATCATGTAAGATTATTTTAGTAATGGGTGAGATATTTATTAATATTTCTATATTCTTATTATTCGGTTTAAGTTGTATTCTGTAAGGTTAGGTCATCTTTACGTTTCGCATAAACATTAAAAGATCATGTAAGATTATTTTAGTAATGGGTGAGATATTTATTAATATTTGAATATTCTTATTAATTGGTTTAAGTTGTATTCTGTAAGGTTGTATTGAAGTAAAGCTCATCTTTACGTTTCGAATAAACATTAAAAGATCATGTAAGATTATTTTAGTTATTGGTACCACATGTAGTACGTGTCTTACCGAAGAGTTATCTAAAATACATTGTCCTTAATTGCGCTATACCACGTGTATTACATTTCCAACCAATTGTAAAGTGTTTTCGTTTCATTGTTAAATGCATTTGTTTATTGTATGATATATTGTAAGATTTTTACTGTAACTGTTAATTCATAATTTTCGGAATACTTCAATTGTCTTAGGTTGTACTTTGTTTATGTTTTATTGTGATATGTAACTGACTGTTGAGACACACGGAATAAAGACTGGCCACTAATAGATGCTTCTCTTGGTTGTTTTAAGGTGTGCGGTCCCTTGCTAATTCCCCGACAGCTAATTCTAGGAATTATAATTAGCCTTGACCAAACATTAACCTTTAAAGGTTATTATAGGTCATAAGGTTTATTATAAATGGTGGAGGAAATCCTAGATGACCGGCGCAACACCCAATAACTACAGACAGAAGCTGAGGGGCCAAGAGCCAAGGTCATTGTTGACCAGCCTGCTCAGTCCTGTTCCGGTCCTTCAGTCACCATCTTCACCCATCCTCGTGTCTCCAGCTGTCATCACCACAACAGCTGCAAATTCAACAACGCCTGCATCAACGTTGACAGCAACTTCAACAATAACTTCATCATTGACCTCAAATATGTCAAGCATGCCACATGTAAAGCTTGAGGAGTACTCTGGAACTACAAATGGAAAGAATTGGTGGCAAGATTTTTTAAACTTTTCAAACTTTTACTCCTTTAATGATGATCGGAAATGCAAACTAATACCATTTTATCTGGAAGGAGCAGCTAAATTATGGTATCGGGAGCTCTCTGAGGAAGATCGGAATAACCTTGCCCGAATAAAGGCGTCATTCGACCAACGCTTCTCTTCTCCAGCTGCATTCGACGTCAGTGTTTTGCAGATGGCACAAACGAGTGACGAGACTGTCACCGGATATGTCACAAGAGTCCAGGCTGCTACAACACATCTTAATCTCCCTGCGTCTGTTGTCGTGGCAATAACAGTAAATGGTCTTCGTTCGGCAATACGACAGATTGTTTATAATAAGGAACCGACCACCTTACAGGAAGTAAGGCATCAGGCAGAGTTGGCAGAAAAGTCCTTGACGGCCAATTCAGCTGATGTCAATATGGCTGCAAAGGTGGACCAGCTCACCAACTTGGTTGCCACCTTGATCACCAAGACAACGCCCCCTACCGTGCAGGCTGCTGCTATCCCATCATCCAGTGGACAGCAAGACCATCACAACAGACCTCCGATGCAGAGATATAGACCGCATAGACAACAGCAACAACAGTTGCCACCTCCAGACCAGCCACCACCACCGATGCCAGCACATCCAATGAACATGTCCACACAGCTGCCACGCCCTCCATTCCATCGTCAACAGTACCCACACCCTCAACAGCAGTATCCACGACGACCACGACTACCAGTGCCACCTCACCTCCAACAAAAGTGTCATGGCTGTGGTATGTATTGCTCGAATCGTTATGCATGCCCACACTACAACACAGTTTGTACTTATTGCAATAAGATAGGACACCATTTTAGCGTCTGCCTCAGTGCTTACTATTCACAGAACAAAGCACCTATGCAATAGGGACTCGCGCCTGATTCTCAGATTTCTGAGGTCAGGCATGAGAACCCTGTGGTCTCACTTGTGGCTCCTTTGGTCAAGAACACTGTTCTGATAAAGGTGAAGCAAGCAAAAACACCAGCTCTTGTTGACACAGGTGCATCCATCAGCTGTGTCAGCATGCGCTTCTTACACAAGGCAGGATACACTAAGGAACAGTTATCTAAATCCCATCTTAGTCAAATAACAGGTGTAGGAGGTGAAATTCATTCAGTATTAGGCTCTCTTTCACTTGATATTAATGTTGGCAATGTTCTCCTGTCCCAAACCTTTCATGTTCTTTCCTCTCTCCATCACTCTCTCATCCTAGGCATGGACTTTTTAGAAGATAACAAAGCTACTGTCTGTCTGTCTTCTAAATGTCTTTACATTCATGAAGGTCTAATCACTGTTGCTTTGGTTGAATCTAATGCAGGTTATGCTAGGTGTAAACATCAAGTTGCTATTCCCGCCAAACACCAGGTAGATGTTCCTGTTCTTATCTCTAGGAATAGACGAGGTGCTATCCTTCTGCTTGAGCCTGTACCCGAACTTTCCAAAACAAAACTTCAAGGTGCTAGATGTCTTGTAAGGAATTCTAAAAAGGCTGTGTACATGAGACTTTTAAATCCAACAGATAAAGATGTCCACTTAAACACTAAAAGAGTACTTGCAACCACTTCAGAAATTGACATTTCCTCCATATCCGTTCTCTCAGACATTCCCGACACTGACCCTAGGCTCTCTACCTCCAACTTGTCAAAAGAGTTTAATGCATACTCAGGTCATTCATTCAACTCACCCTCAGCTCACTTATTCACTCAAAACTCAGGTTGTACATTCAACATGTCAAAACAGGTCAATGCATACTCTGGTCATTCATCCAACCAACACTCAGGTCTTTCACCAAACCAATACTCAGGTTATTCGTCCAACACACCCTCATGTCATTCATTCAACCCACACTTAGGTCACTCATTTAATCAAAGTTGTTCATCCATCATGTCACATCAGGTCAGTGCAACTTCATCTGATCACCCTAAAGGCATCTCATCACTATCACATACTTCAAAGTTAGGTCACTCTCTTTCTCAACCCCACACTCAGGTTACTCACACCAACTTAGGATCATCTCATGCCTCTGTTCACCTATCACAAAACCAGAAGCCCCCATGCTCATCTGATATATCTTTTGATTTAAGTGAGTCTGATCTTTCCTCTGAACAAAAGCAAACTCTCTTATCCTTTTTAAATTCTCAAAGATCTGCCTTTGCCGAAAACTGGTCGGAACTAGGTACAACCCACTTGCATCAACACAAAATAGAAACAGGTGATGCTAGACCAGTAAGACTTCCCTTCTATCGCCAAAGTGCTGAAATCAGAAAAGAATGTTCAAAACAAATAGAGGAAATGTTAGAAGCAAACATTATCTCCCCTAGTTCTTCTGAATGGCATTCCCCGGTGGTTATGGTAAAGAAAAGGGACAACACCTATCGCTTTGCGGTCGACTACAGACGTTTGAATGCTGTTACAAAACCCATTTTCTTCCCTCTCATTCGTTTTGAAGATGTCATAGATACAGTTGGCGAAAGTCAGGCCAAATTCTTTAGTGTTCTGGATTGTGCTAGTGGGTTTTGGCAGATTCCCCTTCATTCGGACACTAAACACAAATCAGCGTTCATAACTCCTGATGGTGTATTTGAGTGGAATCGCCTCCCTTTTGGCCTGAAAAATGCTCCCATGGCATTCCAAAGCACAATATCTGAAGCCTTAAAAGAAATGAATTGGAAATACATTTTGATTTATGTGGATGATGTGATAGTATTTTCTAAAACTTTCTCTGAACATTTGACCCATTTGAAATGTGTATTCCAAAAGATCAGACAAGCAGGACTTACTCTTAAAGCTAGTAAATGCAAGTTTGCTGCCAAAGAAGTTCAGTATTTAGGTCACATTTTTGACAAAGATGGAATCAAAGTAGATCAATCCAAAATTGAAGCAGTCAATAAAATTCCCCAACCAAAGAATGTACATGCTGTTAGACACTTTTTAGGCTTAGCCAGTTACTACAGAAAATTTGTCCCAAACTTTTCAGGAATTGCCTCACCACTGTATGATCTTCTCAAAAAAGACACCCCCTTCATTTGGTCTGACAGAGCTGAACAGGCATTCACAACACTTAAGCAAAAGCTAACATCATCTCCGGTTCTTGCTTATCCTGATTCCTCTCGTCCATTCATTCTCACCACTGATGCATCAAATACTTCCATAGGGTACATCTTAGGTCAAAAGGACTCTGAGGGACGTGAACATGTAATATGCTATGGAGGTAGATCTTTACATCAGGCGGAAAGAAAATGGGGTGTCACACACTTAGAATGCCTGGCAGTTGTAGAAGGAATTAGACACTTTAGAGTATATTTGGCATCAAAGAAATTTCAGGTGTACACAGATCACAAAGCTTTGACCTGGCTCCATAAGTTCAAAGAAGATGCAGGACGTCTAGGTAGATGGTCGCTTTTGCTTCAAGGCTATGATTTTGAAGTTATACACCGCCCAGGAAAATCAAATGCAAATGCTGATGCTATATCTCGTACTCAGTATCCTGAACCCAAAACGCTTCCGGTTACTGATGACATACCATCCCCTCCCCTGCCCTCTCATGTTCACACAAATGTTACAGCTATCACATGCACTCCTTCCTTGATCTCCAAACTACAAACATGCCAGTCTACCCAATCACAAACATCCAAACTTCCTACTGATGTTCACAAAAATAGGCTTTCTCCCTCTCCTGACGCATCGAACTCCATCACAAACACCCCAGCCCACTCTCCATCCTTGGTGCCGATTGTTGACGATTCTGTCTCCCTAGCTGTTGATTTTGTGTATGTGAATGAACCACAAACTACCAGTCCATCAGTCTCTGCAGTATCCTCTACGTTCGATTTTGAGCAACTAGATGTCAAACAATACAATTCCCCAGATCTACAGCCTATTATTGATTTCCTTAAAAAAGGTGAAATCCCAGAATCTTACAGTGAATCTCAGGTCAAAGGTCTTAGAGGTCGTGCCCAGGAATATGATGTCTGTGATGGAATCCTTTATCATTTTCATCAATCAAAGTTTAGAGGATCCAAAAACAATCGCCCCTCAGTTATTACTCAGCTTGTTGTGCCTCTTCCTCTCCGCAAAGATCTTCTTTATGCCTATCATGACTCAAAAGTAGGTGGTTGTCATCTTGGTAGGGACTCAACAAGACAAACCCTCTTAGCCAAATATTACTGGCCGGGCATGTATCAGGATATAGAGGACTACATAAAATCTTGTGATATTTGTCAGCGATCTAATTATCATGGAACTGTTCTGGGTGAACAATACCTTCCAAATGACGTGCTGGTTTTCTTGGGGAATTAGTCAGCAAAGAGCCAGAGTCACAGGAGACTAATCACAATTTTATTTACAAGAACAATTAACAATTTACAATATACTTAGATAATAACTGAGGGTGCCACAGAGAGTCGGTACACACTCTGGGCTGTGGGAGAGAGGTCTGCTTGGTAAGAGAGTCAAACCCCTTCTCTCCTAAAACCTGCCTACAGTATGTATTTAACAAAAATTTAAACAATAGAAAGGAATGTGATTGGTTGATACACGATTGGTTGTGTCCTAAGCTAAATGGATGGCTAGACAGAGGGGAATACTAAATCCTGTTTATCCTGTTGGACTGGCACTAATCTTGTTGACATATTTACTGGATGCTTTGAAAGAGATTAGGGTGTCACTATAGATGAGCTTGTGTGGGGGCTAATCCTTAATGCCCTATAGACGAGCTTGTATGGGGGCTAATCCTTAATGCACTATAGACGAGCTTGTATGGGGGCTAATCCTTAATGCACTATAGACGAGCTTGTATGGGGGCTAATCCTTAATGAGTCTTAATTGAAATAATGTTATTCTAATATACCCCGGTGGGTGATGACAGATATACTTAAATAAATATCCTTTGTCTGGGAGATGGGATCTTGATACCTTAGGCTAGCATTTATCTAAAAGCTTTAAATCAATTAAACTATGTAGACGTAACTCTTGTCTTATTGAATAGTATGTCTAGAAGACGCGCTCCCATTACCTTAGGCTAGCAACCATCTAAAAAGCTTTAACTGAAACTACTGATATTTTATATATGCATTTTACCTAATGATAATTATTACTTGCTAAAACTACAATTATATGAAATGATGTATAAATATTACATCATGATAACTCATAAAAGCACTTGATGTAGATCTAATTATTATAAGATAACTTAGTATAAATGTTATCCCATGATAACTTCCCCTCCGTCTGAAAAAGTTTGGACCCCAAACGTGTAAAAATAAAAATAATTAAGGCTTAGATGGACAATGTATAAAGTTAAACTGGTAGTAGTGAATAATAATTATTATAGAGTCTCTTTGATATAATGAAACATAATATAAAAATGCTGTCATCAGGGGTTCTGGATGTGGAGCTGGCTTGTCTTGGCACTCTGTACTGGTGGCTTTATGGGTGATGTAGGAGGCCTTGAGTTCCACATCCTGGATTGGGGTTGTAAGGTAGTAGGCTGTGTCCATGGAGGTTTTACATGGAAACAAAGAAAAGAGAGTTAGCATGTTCAAATAATATGTCATATATAAATACTTCCTTAGTTTGTCTGTAATAACTAGAAAATAAAACAAATATGATAATTATGATGTAAAAGATCAGTACATAATTATTACTAAACGGTGTCATGACCAGGAAGAATGTATTGGCGGCAAATTACAAAAGTTTATCATGAAAAAAAAAATAGTAATATCCTTCTACTTTTGG